GTTCTTGCCTTGTAACTGCCTCGTTAAGCGAACAAAATCGAATATTTTATTATGGGCTCTAGATAGTTCTCCTGGAAGGAAAAAAAAAAAGAAGGCCTAGATTGTTCTCCACACGTCGTTGTTGTTTAGAATATAAAATATAATTATAAATTTAAAATACAGATAGCTCATGTCTGTAGTCTGCGCTTGGAGGTGAATGCCCCTCGTACTACATGACAAGCACATGCTTCCTCCAGAATCGAAACACTGTGCATCCGCAGATTTCCGCACCACAATCCACGGTGGAGTTTGCAGAAATTTGTTTAGGATGCACATTGTGTAAAGTTATTAAGTTTACTCCCTCTTTTTTTTTTTTTGTGAAATAAATCTTACCATTTTACTATCGATGATTTATACATAGTATAAATTACCAGTGACAACTTATAACAGTATGAACATAAATTATTAAGATTCTTTTTGTAATGAAAAGATGATCGGGGAAGCGTCACTACACTCAGGAGAGAGGTTTACACATCCATTTTCTCAATTTTTATCATTCATATTGTAATATTCAGCTCATTATTTCGACAATTAGTCAAAACTTCTAAAACGATCTTGGATTGAACAATGAAATTACCTTTAAATACTTGAAATAATTATTAAAATCCATTTTCATATTCAAAATATAAAAACTACAAATATTTGAGAGTCAAGTTTCTAAATCATATTCACTTCAAAAATATCAATCTCCAACACAAATCAAAATGGGCACAAATACAAAAACACAAGCATCAATTTAGGTTCAACACGTTTGAACTCAATTCATTTCAAGTTCAAAAGTTGAAGGATGGGCCACTGCATTTTACACGTGCGCCTTGACTTTTTTTCTCTGTACCATGCATAACATCACATTGCACATAACAACTCTATTATTGTCAATTTGACAATATTGGAGACAAATTTTTATAACGTTCCATTTCTTCATTTAACCTTTGATTGAGGTGATCAAAGTGTCTATAAAAAGCTCTTTTAGAGCTCCAACTAATGTCAACAGTTTCACTCATAAATCATTTCTCAATTAAAAGTTAGATACCCATTTACAAAGTCATTCTTTTTTACTTTTAAAACACAATTAGGGTATCTAACTTCACAATCAAATGCCAAAAGCTTACAATCGCTTTCAAACCACACTCAATAGATTGAATATGACATATACAGCATACCACCGTATTTGCAATACTTGCATATCCCATTTTAGATTCTCAACCCTTAAATCTCAAAAAAAAAAAGGGAGAGTCAATTTCACATAAATAATCATAATCATGCATTTAAGTTTATCTTTATTTACACTAATGTTTTGACTCTTTTTAAATGCGCATGCATGTAACACACAACTCAAATCCAAAATACAATTTCCAACAGCAACAACAAATAATGCAAGTAAATCAAGATAATGTGCACTCCTAGCTGGCAATTTCATTCAAAATATGCACATAAATATAAACTATAGGCGTATAGTTAGAATTGACTCGAGCTAGCTCCTGTAAATATTAAAGAAAGAAGGACCTGTATAACCATTCGGTAACCACCAATGTACATTTAACCTATATAGTTGTAAGTTAATCAATTATAATGATGCAAGTAGCATTTACAAATAATGTGTGTTTACTTATTTTCAATGACACAATTTATTCAGTTATAACGCTAACAATCATGTGACATAGATTTCATAATATGTAAAGGCCACAATACTAACATCTATATGCCATTTATATGATATGTAAGGTTACAATAATAATAGCCATGTAGCCATGATATGATACACATGATTAGTGCCATCTTTATATCCCCTTGATACCTCCAACATGAAACTGTGACCTATTTCACCCAACGAGATCTATTCAAGTGTTTAGACTACCCAAGCCTTTTAATTGTGAAGAGTTGATTGGGTAAAGCTACTATACTCACTTGGGAATCATACTTTTCTCAAAATCTTACACTATGGGATGTCAGGCACTTAAGTTGGCCTTCTTATTGAATAAGTAAAAATTAATTAAGTTTGAGTCTCTCATAAAATTAGCGGAACAGTCTCTCATTAAACAAGTGAAATAATATAAATATAAAGGTAAGCTATCGAGTTCCGAATGACAATCGTACCACATAGATTTAAAATCTTTACTTTCCTCTCTAAGCGAACTCCCACTTCATATAATCATGTAATGTAAGTCATGCTTACACATAGTATGCACATTTCTCAACAATTATAACTTTTCATGCAACATACAAGCATGGCATTTTTTTTAAAAAAAATCCCACATCACTCACATTACTTTCACAACCACAACTTTCTCAACACAATTTGTATTTCATTCTCCCTTGCTCATGTTTCAAGTGATGTTTGAAGTGTAATTTAGCACAATCTAGATCAATTTCACGATCAACAATTTAAACATTCAACTTCTCACACACTACATAATCTCTTTGTCAAAGTTGCCACATGCTTGTATCAAACAAATTTACAAACACTAAATGATTTTCAAACAGGTTCTTAAACACTTATAATTAATTAAATAATTAAATGCATATATTATATTTTTTCTAACTGCCTTGAACTTTTAAGAAGTTAAAAGTTGTGCCCCTCGATATTAATTACTTTCAAAACTATTTCAAATTTGAATGATGTCGGTTGAAGATTAATCTACGATCAGTAATGCCCATATATATCAGTAAAATGAAATCGCTGGTTGTTTACTCCACCACAGCGCGTGTGGGTAACAAAGCGGAAAACCGGAAAGCGATCTGAGAAGTGGAAGGCGATGTCTTTCTCACGCGTTCACGCCATCTTGCAACATGAGCGCGTACTGATGAGATGGAGGGTGCAACTTTAGCAAACCAGGGCCTCCTGGTATGCGAATTGAATTAGCGAAGAGGCTTTTCACAATTTTGGACGGAGAGTCTGACGAACTATATTGAATGTGCCTGAAGTGAAGTGTGTGTGTAGTATAATCTTTGCACCCTTGTGTTTATAATCTGACAAGGTTTCATTTTCTTTTTAATTGTTTCCAAATTTTTTAATTTTAAAAAATAAATTGTTTACCATTAATAAAATTACAACTCTGGTTCAAATCAACACTTTCATCACTCAAAATTTTAATCTCCTTGCATTTAAACATACTCATCAAGAATATTAACTTCCTTCGACTCCTATTAATTCTGTTAAACTTCAAATTTAAAATTTGATAACTTTTATTTTAATAATATAAAATAAAATTAATAAATTTAGACAATCCAGATTAAAACTGTACGGCTTTTCCTCGCTGAAACTGGCATTTTTACGACTGAAGAGAGTAAAATATGCGAGGCGGATTTACCTTTTCATAGCTTTTTTCTTATTGGTACGTATTTATTTATTCAGAATGAGATGGGTCCCGCAATGCACTTGCTACGCCAATCTTGTCCATGCTGACCACAAATAGGGCATCCATCCATGATACATGAATCGAGATTGAAAAGTGAGGACAGGAAAATAAATCAGATGCAAATTTTTCAATAAAGTATTTTGGATGTTTGCGCCCTCTTCCGGACAAGACTTTCTCCTTGATGGCGATGGAAATCAATTGTATTTACAATGTCGGAACAAAAAAAAAAACCCTCTATTTACCACACAAGGCAACAAGCGAACAAAGTACAATAATATACGACCCCCTTCTCCCTGTTTTTTTAATTATGTACAAGACCCACTCTAATTTTATATAAAAAAATATTTTAAATGATTTTAATGTATTTAGATATCAATCAGTCTCTCACCCTCTTTTTTTTTTTGGGTCAAGCACATCAGTCTCAATCAAAACATGGGCAGAATAATAAAATTATAATCGGTAATTTGAGGTTAGCCAGTCATCAAACCCAACCATCTACCTTGAATTCATTTAAAAAATTTTAGGATTAGGCTTAAAAAATAATTTTTTATGTTTGGGCTGCCTGAGTAAAAAAATTTATTGTTAAAAAATATAAAAAATATAATAAATATTAAATTTTTTAAGTTTTAGGTTAAAAGACCATATATTTAAATCTTATATATCTTTTTTTAACTAAACAATCCTACATATCGTTTAAGCATCCAAAAAATATATTATATATATATATATTAAAAATAAATAATCACTTTTAAAGTAAAAAATAATTAAAAATAATTTTAAAATAAAATTTAAGTATTTAGGTCGAACTTGATCATTTAAACTTTTTAGGGAGTTGTGTTGGAAAATTCATGTGGGTCAAGTTGCCAAACCTAAATAGAGTGACATTTTGTCAAAATTTAAGCCATTTGGTACTCCTTTCAATTTAAGATATAAACATTTCCTCCCAACTTATCTTGATCTAAAATATACTCCCTCTGTTGACTGAATCTCACCTTTAATAAAATAATTATTTGTTTTTAAATTGATTCTATTTTTTTATATTTACCCTTATTTAATAAAGTTTTTTACCTTAAAATAAATCTAAAATGATTTATTTAATAAAAAAATTTAGAAAAAAACAATAATTACATCTTAGAATATAAAAATATCTTATATTTTTTTGATGAAGGGAGTGAATAATTTAGTATTTGTTAAAAAAAATCATTTTACTCATTGTAACATCTCAATTTAAATTTTAATAGTTAATTTGGGTTAATAGAAATTTTGAAAAATATTTAGAGGTAAATAAATTAGTAGAAAATGATTATTAAATCTAACTTAGGATATAATTCTAAAAAAAATAATAAATAAAAAAACATAATAATAAAAAAATATTATTAAATTATTATTATTATTATAAAAAAACAAAAGAAAAGGTGTAAAAACAAGAAAGGAGAAAAACAAGAAAACTTTCGGCCGCCGCACATGAACAGTAAAATAAAATAATAAAAAAAAGAAGGAAAGAAGAGAGAGAAAAGAATAAAAAAAATGTGTGGGACCCACTGAATTTTTATAAAACTCACCCGTTTCCTTTCATTTCTTCAATTCTTTTCCTGCGCGCGAGCTGAGGCGGAGAGAAGCGAGTTGCCGGTGCAAAATATCTAAATTTTTAAGGTAAGAGTTTTTAATAGGATATTTAGGGTGTGATTTTAAGCTTTTTAAGACTAAGTAAGTGTTCTAAAAATTTTTCTTCATCATCCTTCTTCTTTAGTTTCTGAGTTTGTAGTGGTAGAAAATTTAAGATCTGGAAGAGGGATGAATTTATGTTGAATAAATATATTTTTTGAGGTTGTCAGTAGTATAATAAATGTTCTAGAGTATAAATTTGTTGATGATCTTTGAATCTGTGGCTTATGGATCAAATTCTAAACTAGATCTGAAAATATATATTGATTTATTGAGGTTTAGATGATTATTTGGGATGAGAAATGAATTATTATGGTTATAGTATTATGATTCTAAGTTAGAGACTTAATTTTTAATTTTTGGGTATTTTAGGTACGAATTTATAAAATAAAAAGAAAATTTTGATAATAGAAATTAGTTTAAATTTTGATTTTTAGATTATCAATGTTTATTGATAATTAAAAGAGGAGTTAAAAATTTTACTTAATAATATTAACTATAGATTTGTATTAAGATTGAAATTAGGAATTATATTATATTTTTAATTCTATTATTAGAATTATTTAATTAGTTTCAAAAATTGAAACTAATATTTATAAATAATATGTTATTTGTAGATTGTATTACTGGTGAAGATTGTGGTGAGAGAGAAATTTTAAGGAATAATTTATTGAAAAAAAAGCCACAAGGTAACCATGCTTTTAATTTGTGATTAGTGTTACTTCATGTTAATTGGGTGATTATTGAGAAAATTATGAATTTTGTAATATTTTATAATTGTGCAATATTATTATGAATTTGTTTAATTATTGTGGGAGGTGTTGGGAGACTTGCTATTATTATTGTATTTATGTGTCACGTGGTACGCCCCTATTGGAGCTCAATAGGTGGCTTGTAAGGGCTCGGGCTAATCTACCTTTGGCAGAGTAATTTAGCACCGAGTGAGGGCTATGGCTCGAGGTTAATGGAGGGATATAAGGATGGTTGTTTGTGTTCATTATAATATTTCTTATATTTGTTGGAATTATATTATTTTTAATTCTCACTTAGTAAGCACACACTTAACTGTTTGTATACACTATCATAAATTGGCTTTGGTTACTGGAACTTTTGAGTCTCATTATGTGGTTAACAATTTTCAGGAGAAGAGCCACGAGTGACACATGGAGGAGTCCCAGAGGCTTAGTGGTATAGATCCACTGTCTCTTTTGGGTATTTAATTTATGATTTATAATGTGTTATATTGCCAATATTAGGGCTTTTTGTTTATTGTCAATTATATGAATATATAAATGTAATCATGCCTTTCAAACTATTTCTATTTTTAGTACAATTTGGATGACTGTAATTTTAATATTTGGTTTACTTTGGATTGGTTAAAATGGCATGATTATAAGGCCAAATAACTGACTTGTGTTGAAAATTTATTAAATTGCTTATTTTACTTGTTGGGAGTATAAGGATGGACAAATGTGATTTAGTTTACTTGTTGGGAGTATAAGGATGGACAAATGTGATTTAGCCTAATGGCATGTGGGAGGTAAAAATTTATCTGAAATATTAATTATAAAATATTTTATATTGAAATTATTAATATAAAAATGTGTTGGGTGGCTGTAACCCAACTATGGTTGAGTTAAATTATTTTAAAAAAAAAATTTTGGTGTGTTACACTCATTAACCTAGACTCTTGCATAGTGAATTTATGATATTCTCCACACTTAATAAAAATCATAGTTAAGGGTAAGATAGAAAAATAATATATATTTTCATAAAATTTTTATTAATATGCATATTATTGTTAGCGAGGAGTGAAATAGGAAGAAGTAATTAATGAATCAAGAAAGTTAAAAGAATGTTTTATCCTCTCTATTAAAAAATATAAGACAATTTTAAAGAATTTGATGTTAAAAAATACAGAATATCTTTAGTGTTTTGAGATGTAATTAATATATTTTTAAATTCTTTTAATAAATAAATCATTTAATATTTATTTTTAAATGAAACATTCTATTAAATAGAAATAAGTATGAAAATAATGTGTTAATTTAAAGATAAATAATTAGATTATTGAGATGATATTTAATTAAAAATATTTTATATTTTTTAATAGAAACAGTAAATGTTTTACTGCATAATTTTATTATTTATATCTGAAAGATGGGATTGAGAGTATGGGTTTTAACGTGGAAAAATATCATCTACGGATCTTTGGATACTTTTTTATATCAAATGAGGACCTTACAAATTTAAAATTTCACCGCATTCCCTTGATAGCTATATGAAAATAAGATTTCATGAGAAGACCTAATTATCCTTACAGTTTAATAAAGTGCAATAATTTAATAAGTTGTTTATTACGTATGATTAGTTATCGAAGCTTGAGAAGATGTTTGTTTATACACAATGAACACTTATATGATTAAACTTTTGTTATAAGTCATAATTACTTGTTAATTCTAAACAGGTTATTGTTAATTAAATGTGGTTACTTGTCAAAATTAGAATCAATATTTGTTTATGTAGGATTAATGCATATAAAATTAAACACATGCTATTAATTATATGTAGTAATTTATTAATCCTAAATTGGTTGTTGCTAATCACATAGAGTTACTCATTAAAACTCAAATAGATATTTGTTTATGTAAAATTTATGCTTATACAGTGAAACATGCGCTATTAGTTTTTATAATTTATTCATTTTTGAACGTGTCATTGTTAATTATGTGTGATTACTTATCAAAATTTGAATATATATTTATTTATGCATCCAAAATATGTTAGAGGTAATTAGATCTTTTATCATAAAATCATATTTTCATATGGGCACTTGGGATATAGCAAACTTTCGAATTTTTAAAATCCTTCTTAAATATAAAAACTCTCCACGAATCCTCATATTGTATTTTCTCTTTTAACTTCACACTAGCTGGGGAAGGGCAGAAGAGGATACTTCGAGCATCCCCTCAATCCTTTTACATCAAAGACGTGGACTCCACTCCCCACTTTTTTCGGACACTGGTGTTTGCCATTACATCTTTCGTTTTTAAATCACAGACATCGCATGAAGGGACATTGGATTGAATGTCATGATTTTGAATTATTAACGTTTATATACGTTCAGGTCTTCAATATTGGTATGTTAAATGAGTAGTGTGTTACTCCGTCTGGGAAAGAATCCCAATCCACTAATAAATATTTCCCTTGCATGTGAGAGTGATAAGGGAAAATCACAGTCAAGAATCTCTGAAGTAATTTGTTCGCAAAGGAAAAAAAAAAAAAAAAGACCAAACCATTCTAATTTCACACTGCAGGATCAGATGACTAAGTTGTGAATAAAAAAATACCCTTGCATTTTTTTTTTCAAGTCAGCCTCACGGTCACTGGCGCTGGCATCATAAAAAATAAGTTGTTTGGAATCTAAAGTTATTGCCTACGTGAACATATTATTTTAATAACGGCTAAATTTCAATTTGCAAATGTAAGGGTATTTTTATCATTTCACACTCAATCATGTACAATTTAATTCTCTGGCTCTGCAGTATAAAATTAAAATATTTTGGTCATTTTTTGTGGAAAAGTTGCTTGAGGTTTTTTATTGTTATTTTCTCAAAAATAGAGAAATTTAAACGGATAAATTTTAAACAGTTCACGGTCTGGAAAATAGATAAATAGATACATATTTTGTTAAATATTTTTCTTGTTCCAGGTCACTTTAATGCCGATATATCATTAATATAAAATATAAAATATATTCGGTCTGGAAAATGAAATAGAAACAGAAAGAACGTAATTAAGGTCACCGAATGACTAATAGAACTTATTTATAACATAATTTTGTCCGATGCAAGGAGCCAAAACTAATTATAGTGCATATTAATTATAATTTTAATCTTTGTGATAAGTATTTGACTTATAATTTATAATATCATAATTTAAAACTTCACCGAATTTTATTGATAAATAATCAAAAAATATTTTTATAAATATTTTTTAAATTTAAAGGCATAACTTGATATTTTTTGTGAGTTTTATGATTCAACTTATCTAAATTTTATTGTTGGAAGAAAATATAAGGAATCCACGCCACAACAATAACGCGTAACGGGGGCCACCGGGGAAAGAAAGGAGGTTTCTAGACACACAAAGATTGGCGTAGCGTTTTTCCATAACTTTTGTCACCGCGGTTATTTGTTTCAGAGCACGTTTAATTGATTAAAGATTCATCCTTATTTTTATAGCTTCCTAATTAAAAACATGATACAAGAAAAATTGATCTCAATTACTCAGTGCGTACGAGCGTGGAATCATAAACAATGCTGGCAAAGTGACAATTTTTACAAATTATTTGAATAATTAATACATTGAAATTTAAAACTGTGTCTGGTCTTCATCAGCTATTGGTATCATTTTTTCGAGCTACGCCCAACCTCAACCTCGTAGCTTGGGCTTCACGTTACAGCCAGTGCAGAATGCACGGCAGGATCCTCGCCCTCCGGCATCGTCCTCCTCTCATTTGTCGATCGGCTCCTCTTCTTCTACAATCAAATTCAATTATCACTGAGACGCCAGGCCATGAAGATGAGGGCCCTCCCAAAATAATTGAATGACAAGAGACAGAGACCACAAGGCCCACGAATACTTCCGTAATAATCGGCGCAACAAAGTGTTTCGTGGCCCCTGGGTACATGGGCCAATGGGCCAATACTTGGGCGTTGGATCCACTAGTCATCGTTTAATAAACGAGCTCCGAATCGCAAGCAAGCGTTGGCAGATTTCGATTAACGAGTAAATGCCAGTCTTGAATCTTGATAATGTAATTCGAGATAGGACACAAAAACACCTTGCTTCCAAGACATATTCTTTTGCCTGACATGTTAGAATTCCCCTTTGGATATTGAAAGCATTAAATGATAACTACAACTCGCGAGGAGAGATCATCTGAAAAGTTGCTCCCGAATCACAGAAGCATACACCCTGATCTTATATACTGGTCAACTTCCATGATAAAAAAATAGACAATTAATTAGCTTTTAAATAGTGATATATATGAACTTCAAATATTTTCTCACTTTCAGGCTATTTTAATGTTCTAACCTCTCTCTCTCTCTCCTTTTTAAACAAAATTTCTGATGAGATATGGTTAGCAGTGATTAATATTTAAGACGAGAGGAAGTATCCTGCTAGTACTTTGTACAGGAACTTTCTTGAACTAATGGGCAGGGGTAATAATTTCCCTGGTTCTGGGGAGCATATCTTAAATAAGGGGGGGGGGGGGGAATTGAGACATGCTGTGAGGGGAAAAAATAAAACCGTGGCACCGACTTGTGCTTTTAACAATCTCAAATCTGCTCTTTAGATTATGGGGTTTGTTTGACCTAAGCGATAATGTTTTTACAAACCCATCCACGTTGAAATTTACATCGGGCCAGTCTATTCAAACATTCATAAGGCCACCCAAACATGTGGTCAAAAGAATAGTAACACTCAAGCAGGAGAAATTAAGATGCATGCCCTAACAAATTCTTCTTAAATTAAGGATAAGATGGTCAAAATTTCATTTAATTTTATAGGTCGACCTTTAATATATATATATATATATATAATTCTCTTCACAGTTAATTGCTAAACTTGATAGCGATGCACTCATGTGATACAACACTGATGATAAACTTCGAAATATTTATTACTGGACAAAATTAAAATAGCACAGTAAGATCCCTTTGCTTTTGGTGGAAGAAAGAAGTTTTGATTAGACGGGAAAAAATATATCGAGGTTTTATTTGTAAAACACACGTACAGGATGCATTACGTTTCCCTCATCAACTTTTGGAATGACAAGCCCCCGAAAGCAAAGACACGAAAATTTAAGACAAATAGAAGTAATTTAATCATCAGCTTCTTCATAGGTCAAGTCCCAAATAGAGGTACGTTGTTGGGCCTCAGCATTGTGTTGGTGTGGAGATTGATTCATGCGGACGTGGTCATTTTGCACAATCTCAAGTGCAGAACGCAATTCCGTGTCATCAACCCCATCCAGCCAGTAGCCTCCGCAGTCTCCAACGCTCAAATAATTCAGCTCATTAGCCTTTTCTAGCTCCTTGTTCATCCAATCTGCAACGCTTGCCATTTGCGCGTCACCCGACAGATATTCACGGAAAGGATTAAGAAGGGAAGCCCCGGCAGACCTGTCTGGAAATCCCTCCTTTAATTCATTCTTCTGGGAACTCTCGGCATTTCCAGAACCATCTTTACCAAACGCTCCCCTTTGTTCTTCTTCTTCTTCTTCTTCGGACGGTGATATTCTGAGGCACTTCTTTGTCAAAGCTAGCAGCGCTTCCTCCTGGTTCACAACTTTGGACCAGGTCGCGGTGTCTCTGGCCGTCATCTTATCTTGTAAAGACTTGGATTGTGTCACAAGCTTCCTCAGTCTGTTCAAATCAGGAGACATGTGCTTGATGACTGCGGCCAGGACGGAGACTTTCCAGGCCTTTTTCAGATCACGGGGCTTCTTATAAGGCGGAGGACCGTGCTCCTGGGCCATCACTCCCAGTTCACCCCACCAGACTTCGTTACCGCTGGGCCACCACGGAGGAGCCAGCCCTCTCTCCAGAGGAAACTTCCTCTGGGGAGGCACACAGTGCTGCATGAGAGCGGAAAGCAGAGAGCCTAACGTTGTATCCTGCAATTCGTGAAGCAGGTGCATACAGGACACCGGATCGACCTGACCCTTTTCAATCAGCGGCAAGTAGTTGGCAATGGCAAGAGGGGCGTTTTGGTCAAAGCGCACTTGCTCTTTCCACCACTCCCGCAGGCTATCGGAGGAACCGGTTACCGGCTTTCCCTTCTCGGGGACGATTCCATAGACAAAACCTTGACCGTTGCAGACTTCCATGATCTTCACCATGTACTTGAGGATTGAATCTTGCGCTCTCGCCAGCTTCTTGCGTCTGGATGCTTCTTGTTTTGCGCCTTGGTCCGGTTCATCTCTGAGACGTTTATCCTTGAGCTTCTGTAGAAGCATCCGGTCCTTCCACATGCGCTTCTTGATCTGCTCATACTCGATATCTTCTTCCGCTTCGTTGTCCTCTTCAGTTTCCGTACGACTCGATAACGAGTCATTCTCTTCCAGGAGCTCCACCATGACTGAGGCAAGGATTAAAAGCTTACTTGCATGTAGTTGAAATCTCACTAGTTGCAGAAAATGACATGTGATGAAATAGAAGGGAATGGGGGAGTAAAAAAACACACACACACACACACACACACACATATATATATAGAGAGAGAGAGAGAAGGATAAAAAGGCGGTCAATGGGGAAGAAACCAGGGAAGAGAAGGGTGTGGAAGGGAAGGGAGATAAGTAGCGATGGAGGAAATGGTGGAAACAGAGGCGCGTGTGAGGTGTTCTCGTCAGGGGTGACGCAAATATTAATTGCGTTGCGAATGATATCACCACCCTCTCCGCTCTGCATGCCATGCTCTCACAGACCTGTGACCTTTTCAGATAATGAACAGGCGCTAATTCTGATTTTGAAGGCAGTCGACAAAATTATATAAGGATGATGAGCATTAGCATTACATGGTGCGCCTTGCAATCCCTGAGTAGAGTCGGAAAACAAAGCCAGAAAGACAAAAATTTTCCATGTTTTCCCAGTCTACGGAAGGAGGGTTTCCTGAGAGAGAGCACGCCCATGCCATATGCTCCTAACTATCAGCGATAAGGATTGACCAGGCGTGATTAATTGCCACGCGTCAACTGCCTGATATGCCACACTCTTCTTTATTTAATGATGGGTGATTGGCTACTAATATTTTAACGGGATTCTGAGAGGCTCTCTTCCTTATTCTGTGGAATAAATAATTATATAGATTGGCCCTGGTGTTTCTGGAGGAAATGGGTGGGTAAAATGAATGTTGCGTCATCCAAAATACTAATGATGTTTTAGTAGAAATACATTCCATTTGATTATGGGTTCATATCCTTAATTAATAACCAATAGCTTCAATCACTTGAATTCTTCTTAATCGTAGCACTTGCGGCGCCAGGTAATGGTGAAGAAACTGGATATATGACTAGCCATGTGCTCCTGCCACTCTCTCTCCTGTGACCAGCAGTGTTTATTGGAATCGCCTGCCTGCCTTCGTAGCTTTTCGAGGTTTTTTTCAGTTGATCATTTTCTTGTGCATTTTACGTTCTTGCAAACGTGTTTTAGTCCGTTTATCTTGCCACAGTTCATCATATATTTCAAGAAATAAAACTCTGTAATTTTGTATATGCGAGCTAATTTATTATTTATTTAAACATCTTGAATGTTAGACTGATATAATATTCTCTGTATAGTGAACAGAAGGGTACATTTTAAACATTTAAAAGATCGGAGACTTGAGATTTTATCTTCAACATACAATAGTCTATCTACAAATGACCTGATATAACAAAATTTAGAAGATGTTTGTGCGTTTTTCTCGGAGATAAACCTAGATGTTACCGAAGGAGAGGAAAGGTTATTTGAAAAACTCTCCATCAGGAAGCGCTATATATATATATATATATATATATTCATTTCGGTGGAGGGGATTTAGTAAAAGTTAGATGTTGCGACACTTGTAAGGACAATATCTTTGTCCCAAAAATAAAAAAAAACGCGATGACATTAAGAAATGATAATATCTCGCATTTTCTTTATGATTGATCACTTAATAAGGCAAGTTTGAAGTTGGCCAAAGTAAGCATTACTGAAGAGTACATAAATAGCACAGGGGGTCCAAGAAAATAAATTGTACCGAGTAAAATTGTAAAACATAAACCAACACCAACAAGTCTCGCAACCTGAAGACTCATTTTTTGTACAAAGTATTCGTAACGCTTCACCAGTACCTGCCAGTTTTGTCCACCTCCAACAACCATACTTTTTTGAGCTAAATTTTCGTGTTTCTCTATCTGTACTTGACATTAACAAATCTTTTAGCATTTAAATTTTTCCATTTCAAGTGTATCCCCACAAGTTTATTAAAATCCCACGTATTGTGTGTACTCTGAGTAAGCCGACTGCATGGCAATAGGGGCCCGTGTAACATGATCCGGGAGATCAAATGCAATCACAAGTTCCCTTGCAATATTCCTCACTTGGAAACTCAGATATGCCGTCAGTTTCTGGATTGCCTGCCAAATGAAACAACTTCATCAATCCACATCTGTAACAACAACAGCAGCAGCAATGTACAATATTATCCATTCTTATCCTAGGTTAAGCCCCTCCCTGCTGTGCGCTGTTGCAGCTGGAGTTTAGGTTCCCTAAAAGAGTAATAATTGCTCATAACTAAGATTTTCTCCCCAAAGGCAACTCAGGTTCAAGAAATTTTGTAGAGAAAATTTAAAAGTCTGAAATTCTGAAGTCATCATAAATTCTATGACAGTGAGTTAACAAATATTCCGAACTGCTGCACACTGGTTTCTTGACACCCTATATTTTGACTTTTTGAAAGGTATCATCAATGCAGGTGTTAGTATACCTTAGCCTTATTGGGTGCCACATAATCAACGTTACGGTAGGTTCCAATATCGTTCCAAATTCTATCCAGTGCATAAAGATCACAGACAAGCTTAAGAGCTGCTTTGGAACTCGGGTCAGAACATCTGATACAGAAATGGACTAAGTTAAACACAAAACAGATCTTCTTTAAACTATAATGATGAGAAAGGAGAACACAATGTAAATAGTAGGAACTAGAAAGCACCTCTGCACGGATTCAATAAATTTGGCTAGGATGACCGACTCTATATGTGACTCTGCAAGTGTCAAAAGGTGATTTAAGCATCTATTCCATGCACCAAAGCTTCCAAGAGTTTTAGAATGCTTGCGAAGTCGTACAGCAACACTTTGAAGCAACCTCGATGTGCGGTACTGTAATGGGAAAAGTTACATAAATCTAATCCATTTCACTTAGCATGTATGATATTGTAGGCAGGGAATAAAAATGACACTCACTCTAAAAGCATCCAACTGGAACTGAGGATTTCGTAAATGCTCTTCTCCTTCCCACCGAGCAATTACTGGATTTGGCTGAGAGAGATATGTGTTCATGGATTCTTTCAAGTAATTCCACGTGACTGTAAAAGTCCCACCTTGAAACTTTTGCTTGTATTGTTTTAATAGATCAGCTGCAACCTGCATTTGCATTTGCAACAGGAAACAAGGTATTCATGCCACAGGAACCAAACCATTAACAGAGCTTTGACAGAACAATTGGTTTTCATTATTTAGCTTGCTATTTGGAGGCTAAAGAAAGCAGATGCAATTATACTGGACCATTTAAAAAAAAAAAAGCAAAAATGAAGCAATTCAGTGTCTGGCTGACAGGAGTTAGGTAATACCAAAGAGTGTGATAAATCAAGCATTTGAGGTCAAAGTATTACTTTATAACTTAATCCAGCTTTCCCATTAAACCATATGTTGTTATGAAGGAAAATTCACTACTTACAAACCTTAAATCTAGAAAATCACAACGGGGATTGAAATGACGAAAGCAACCTACAAAATCACATTTTGATGGCTGAGTCATAGACGCATGTTTCTTATGTCTTGTTGCCTCACAGGCAAAGCAAACGTAAGGTCTGGTTCATTAATGTTTCTGATAACAAATGATATAGATTTAGCCAGTACCTGTTGAAGAAGAACTGTGTTGTCCCCTTCAAATGTCTGAAAAATGTCGTGATCATTCCTCAAGCTACCAAATCGATTTACAGCAGCATAACCATGGCCTCCACAGGCTTCCCTGCAGGTGTTCAGTGACTTCGCCGTATATGCTGTCACATAAGCCTTAAGACCTGCTGAAAGAGCATGGACATCTCCAACTAATGCCTCATCATGAGACTTCTTCATTTCTGAATATCTATCCACTAAATATGCAGTGGCGAAGTGAAATGCATAAGCTGAAGCCAGCATTGGCATAAGCTTGTGTTGTTGAGATTGGTAATCAAGAATGCTAACTTCAGGCTGGTTTAGAGGTCCAAATTGTTGACGAAGTAAGGAATATCGGATGGCAATTGTGGCAGCAACCTTTAGGACGCTAACAGAAGAATATGAAAGCCCCACCCTACCACCTACAAGCTCCCCTAATGTTGCAGCAAACCGCTTATTTACAGAAGGAAGGCTACTAGTGTACTTCCCATCACGAGAGACATCTCCAAACCTATTTAGAAGATTATCCCGAGGTATTCTTACTGAACGAAATCTTAATGCTCCATTGTCCACACCATTTAATCCAATTTTAAGACCACAATCATTTATCTCAATTCCTGGAAGTGTTTTGTGGGTCTCCACATCTCTTAGAGGGACGATAAACGCATGCACACCCATATCAGAAACACCTTTCAAATCATAACTTGGTAATAACAGCCTCGCAAAAACAGTGGCAAATTTTCCATGAACTGCAGCATTGCCAATCCACCATTTGATGGCACCATCAGTAGGGGTTTCGATGACAAATTCATCTGTGATTGGATCAAAAGTGGCAACTGTTTGGAGGGCCTGCACATTTGAACCTTTCAAGCACAAAAATAGCAGTTTAGAACATTGTGTTACAAAGCCATATGATAAAACATTTGGGTTATAATAAAATATAAGCTTAAGATAAGCGCCTCAATGCCCCCGCAGGGTAGTCACTGTACAGCAAGAGCGAACAATCTGACAGTGAAGGGAAAACAATATAGAACTAGAAGGACAAAGTCCCAACGACCCGAACATTAGCCATCTTTTCTGCAATATATTACGTGGAAGCACGTCGGAACGAGAGTATTTTGTCGGGTGAATTTCATTACTACCTCCTCAGAAATCAACTAAAAAAAAAAAATTCACGAAGTCTTCAGGATATGTGATTGAATATGTAATAATTATTCAGACAGTCCAATATGGAGAATACGTTGCTAAACTTTTAACAGTGGGTGGTGCTGATCCAATGTCTTAGATTGGGCAAGAAAAGTTCAAAGGTTCCAATTTTTCTTTGTTTGGAATTTAATCAAGCAGCTACAACCATCTGAGCAATCTAAGAGAAATAAAGAGAAATGCAAGCATCAAAATTTACCGTGATGCAGTTCGGTCATGGCAAAACAACCCGGGTAGTCCAAATTGTCAATGCCGTCGAAGTATTTATCCTTATGCTTCTTGGTTCCCAGATTGAGAACAGAACCTCCCCAGAGACTGCAAACGAAACGCAGATCATGCAATTCAGAACACGAAGCATAAATAAGTAGAGCATTGAGAGAATATTTGGATTAAAGATTGCGGGGCTCTTCGAGTTCTGGAGCCCTTACAATAAGGGACAGAAAAATGATGTAATATTGAAAAGTAATGTAAGGTTGGCGAAGAAGGAACAAGAGGATGGAAAACATCATGTAATATTGAAAAGTAATGTAAGGTTGGCGAAGAAGGAACAAGAGGATGGAAAACATGAAGGTCAAAGCGGGATCACCTATACTGCACACCCATCTTTATCCCAAGAGACATGTCGACGCAACCGACAGCTTCGAGAATGGCAAAGTACTTCGAGGGGTCTTCAATCACGTATCTGAATGGCCTAATTCCTGCCTCCCTGACCAAGCCAAGAAGTTGCCTCATGCAGAGGTCACGGTGGGCATCTTTAGAAATCTCCAAGGGGGTTTGGAGTTCGGGCCTAGAATTGAAGTATTCCAGCACCCTCTCCTGAATATCTCTATGCTTACGCCTCACGTATTGGGATAGAACAGCAGGGTCGACGTCAAGCTTGGTCTTTGCGCAGGTTAGCATCTGCAGATGGGGTTGGGGATCAAAGAGCGGTCGAGATACAGGTGTGAGGTGCAGAGATAACGAAAGGATACGCCTGGACAGCGCCTGAGAATGAGAATCATCATCGCCCTGCATTTTTGGGGTCTGTTGTGGATTAAGCAGAAGAGCCAATGAGGATGGGTAGAATTCAATTGAATCGCAGGAAAAAGTTGAAGCGAGACCAAAAGCATGTAGTTTGGGCGGAATGATATTCTTTCTTTCACGGCACACTGATGACGTGGCGGATGCATATGGGATAAAAGGTTGGCGGGTCACGTTTCTGGCGCACTTTCCAACGTCATGTCCATATCATTGATCGGGATAGACATTTTAACCCCCAGCTGATTTTTTTGGATTATCCGCTGATATTTATTTATTTATTAAGAAATTAAGATATATAGTTGCTTAGAAAATTACTAGTTTATCTTTGTTTTATATTTTATTTCTAAATACATTATTTAATTTTTTTTAAAAAAAATAATTTTAAATCTCTATATTTTAATACTTGTATTTTATTTTTTAAAATACTAAAAAATAAAAATATAGGAACTTATAATTAAAAAATATAAAATTTTAAAATAAAATTTGAATAAAATATAGAAACTTAAAAAAAATTAAGAAATAATGTTGGACGCGTAAGATCTTTCCGAAATATCAGAAGTTTGGACCCTCACGAAGCTCGACATTCAGATTTCAGTCGGGAACTCCAGTTCGTCAAATTGGATGAAGTCAAGCCAAAGGCTTCCCATGATTTTTTTTATTACTTTAATTTTAGGGTATACTATGAAAAAAAGTTACCTCGGTAATTGGTTCTATATTTAGGAATTATTATGATAAATTAAAATCAAAAATTAATATGAAAATTTAACATAAAGTAAAATTAATATACATCAATTATGGAAATGGTTTTTTTTGGCCAGAAATTATGGAAATAGTTTGCTTACATTATTTCAAAGCAAGTGATATTTTTCTAGATGAACTTTTTCTGGGTTCAAAAATAACACCATATCTTATATAAAACAGTCTATCAACATGTATGCGATATTAGCTAATTAAAATATATAAATTAATATTAATTGATTTCTTTTATCTTGGCTATGAAGTGTTAATTGAATTCCAAAAGAAATATATTTGGATAACTACCAGGATAGTTAAATAACTAGATTTATTCTCCATGGGGTATTTTAATATTTAAAAGATAAAAATAAAATTGAAATATAAAAATATTTAAAAATATTTTTCTATTTTATCAAGAATTTGTTATTTATTTTAATTTTAAATTTTATTTTACAGATACGTATTAAAAATAGAAATAATAATTTATTTTATTTTAAATGTATTGCCCTAGGAATTAATATGATGGTACCTCGGATGGAGTCGAAGTCAAGTTCCGGGCCTTTGGGAGAGTTTTCTCTCTACATTAGGGTTCTCTTTTACATGCTTCTCTTCATTGGCGGCTACCCTTTTCTTCTTCTTGTGATTCTGTTACTGCTTCGTCCTCACCTTCTCCATGTGTCTCCTTCCTTTCACTCACGTTTTTTGGACGGCGATTGGTGTGCTTCTCATTATGTCTTTGCAGGGGATTATGATCGGAGACGCTTCCATCGTTCCAAGCTACAGGCTTATATCTTACGCTATTGGGATTTAAAAGCAGGAGTTCGAGTGAATCAATGTTTCAAGAATCGCTTCTTGCTCTACTTCCATGGTTATCATGATTTAACCTTCATGTTAAATGGCGGACCGTGGCTGTTTAATGGATGTTTAATTGCTTCTACTGCATAGAAATGGCAGCCTTTTCTACGTTTGCAGGAGATTTGTTTCTCACACGTCCCTCTCTGGGTTCAACTTTATGGTTGATGTTCTTCACGAGTTTAAGTGTAGTCTTATGGATGAATGCAGGTTCAGGCTCCCTTACTTCACTCATCCGGATGTGAAGTGCAAAGAAATTGGTGTAAACGTTTCTGGTATAGTTTGTGTGCATTTCACCTATGCTTGTTTAACTCTTGATTGCATTAGTTGATCCTCTTTTATAATTGTGCGTCTAAGACCGTTGCTCCTAAAGAATCCGGAGCCCACTTACAAAATATTCATGATTACTCAACATGATTCCATCAGATTTGTGGCACATCAGATAGTGATCCCATGTCCAACCAACGACCTTCGATATTCAATAGTTTTAAGTTTCAAAGCTCATATTGAGTACGTGTATGGTATGAAACTTCTTTTAGGAACAAGTTGAGCCTTCATTTGAGTATTGGGTCTGTAGTTTTAGTTTTCTTTTTTCTTTATAATTTTGGGCTGATGCTTCATTTTAAACCCAAACAATTTGCTGATTTGGTTTTAATATTAATATAAATGAGGGATAATTTTATTATTTTTCTTAATATTAATATTAATACTAATTGCCTATTGGTTGTACTCGTTTTTTCTTGTATATTTTTAATTTGCCTCAGTTTCAAGAAAAAAAATAATAAGGTGATGGTATCTCATATTTGTGCTCTTCTTTTAAATTAATATGGTAGAATTTTGAAAAATTCAAATTTAAAAATAAATTCATGCATGATTATTTGAAGAAAAAAATTTACGTACCAACAAATATTATCAGATTTATTACTTTTTTCTCTCTTACAAATTAAAATCTAAAGAACAGTTTCAACTTTGCCATGTATTACTTTCATGCATGATAAAAAAAATATAAACATTTATCAAAAAATATAAACACTCTTTTTAACATTTCAACTTTTTCAAATTAAACTAAAATCAGTTTAATCTCTTTTTAGATTTTGTTAGCCCATTCATCAAAGTATGAAAAATAGAAAATATAATGCAATAAACCATACGCTATAATTTGTATCATAATAGTATTTATAAATCATAATTATAGTCAACAATAAAACAAAAAAAATTATGTGTATGCGGAATAAAGATTTTGAATAAAGCAAATAGGATAACGTGACATTATAGCATTGTTTATTAATCATATTTATGTCCATGATAAGAAAAACAAGGATAAAGATAAGTTTAAAAGACACACAATGAAAAAAAAAAAGAAATTATTAACATAGCATGATTAATTTCAAATCACATAATTACTATTCATGGGAATATTTTCTATGAGTTTCCTAGCCATAATTTACTTTAAAAATAACTTGTTCATTTTATAGGTAATTTTTTCCAAGTATATAGTACAAACATAAATAACACATATAACCCGCATATATTAAATCCATGTATAAAAATTTGTTTCCCTGTACATATTAAAATATAAATAATAATTTATTATTTCAAAATATGTTGTCTTTATATAAATTTAAACTTAAACAGTAAAATATTACTTTTTTCACTAAAAAATGTAAGGTATTTGTTGAGAGGTTAGATCTTTAAAAATATAAAGCATTTTTAATTTTTTAAGATATAATTATTGTCTTTTTTCAAAAGTATGCATACTAAATAAATCATATTATATTTATTTGTGGGTTAAACACTGTATTAAATAGAGATAAATATGAAAATATAAGGTAGATTAAAAGACGAGTAATTACTTTATTAGGAATAAAATTTAATTAAAAATATTTTATATTTTTTAACGGTGAGAGTATATTTTACAATTTATAATCCTCTTGACAAATTATTTTATTTAGAATTTGTCATTCCACGTATTCCCGCGTAAATTAAAATTTAACCAAGCTTATCCGTTTTATTTATTGATGAAGTTTATTCTACAATTTATTATTTTATACATATAAAAAACACAAGTTACAGACAATAGGTTCAACACCTATCATTTTCACTACAAGTCTCATATTTATGTCAATCATACATGAGTCCTATACTTATTTTCACTGCAAGTGCCACATGATTTTGCAAAATTAACATTCTCAAAAGAAATTATGGTTCATTCACTAATTCAAGGTTAGACAAATACTTTTTACATTATTATCTCGTGCGTATAAAAAATATAAGTACCAAATGATAGGGTTTCACGCATATTATGGTTATTATGGATTTCATGTATATCACCATTTTTTTCACTATAAACCTTACACTTGTTTTTATATTAAATTAAAAAATACCATTCATCTCATTATAGATTAACAATGGGAAAAATACTATATTATACAAATAAAAAATATAAATATCAAATGCTAAAGTCTCGCTTTTTTTTTTATCACGGGTTTTACATTTACCGCTGTTTTTTAATCACAAACATCACACTTATTTTTATATTGTGAGTTGTAACATTCTAGATTCTAATATTTAAGTAATAAATAAATTACAGGCGATTTAGAAGTATAGGAAAGGAATTTTGAAATAGAGAAAATTACTGAACAAATATTGAAGATCGAAAAGTTAGAAATTAAGTAAAATAATTTAAAAATTATCTTGAATGGAATAAATTATATGAATCTAACTTATTAAAATAATAGTGACTAAAAGAAAGAAATTTAATTATTTTTAAATTTATAAATTTAAATATATACACATATACATATACGTGCGCGCGCGCGCGCGCGCGCGATTCTCATTTTAGCTCTCTCTCGTTTAGTTTCATTCATTCCTGTCGCTACTAATGGCTCTCCTTTTTAGTTAATGTCCTCTTCTATTGTAATTGTTTTCATCCTTTATAATTCCTCCTTTCATGGATAGTACTAAATGTGTGTGAGCGGTGAAATATCTCATCGATTCCCTGCACTGCATGTAGATTGATTAGAGGTCATTGCTGCTCTGAAAAATTAATTCGAACTATTCTACGAATGTTAATTATGCCTTAGCTTTGGATATATGAATATAAATTTATACTGAAACTCGAGAGTTACGAATCTAGAAATTTTATAACTTAGAATTCAACATGAAATTTAACTACTCTAATAAACTAATTAAATTATAAAGAGATGGAGTTAAAAGAGATTTTTTTGGCTCTTTGAGATAGCTTTAAGGTCCTAAAGTAATTTTAAAATAACTTTATGATAGCTCTAGGCTAATTTTTAATAACTTTAAAGCAGTGTTTTGAAAATGGGACCAGACCAAATAGTTAAATCGGTCTAGTTTCTGATCTGATTCATAGGAAAAAATTATTTTATAGGTTGAGCCGTTTCGAACCGGCGGTCGGACTGGGAACTGGATCCAGTTTCAAAAACTGAACTGTTAAAATTATGACTAATTTTTTTAATCATTTGATATTATAT